GGCCGTTGGCGGCCGTTGCCGCCCCTAACGGCCGTTGCCGCCCCTAACGGCCGCCGCGGCCGCGCGCGTGCCCCGCAGGCGATGTGAGAATGGCCATGGCCCAGGCCGGCGCGGTCGCGGCGGCCGCCGCGGGCCTCCTCGTCGTCTTCCTCTACGCCGCCATCCACAAGGTCGAGGAGGGCCACCTGGCCGTCTATTACAGGTACCGTGGCTGCCGGGCGGCCCCCACCCCCGTCCCTCGACCCCATTCCTGGCCAGAATTGGGGGGAACTCCGCTTTTCATTTGCCCGCTTATTTGTTGTGTATTTTCCTTACGTTTTCAGGTCCGTTCCTGTGTTAAAAGCGGCTGGGGGGGCCCCTCGGGGGCCCCTGGCTTTGTGGGCGCGTTGCTGTGTGTCCTTACCGGGTGCCTGGCGGCAGCAGGTCCTGCGTTTCGCCCCGCTTACGGGCACACTGTTTGGGGCAGAAATTCTGCACTCCCAGAGCTCTCCCCAGGTTGCTGGTAATGATAGAGTTTAGCAACATTGATCTTTTTCTAAAAAAAMCCCAACTTTAACCAGAACAAGCGATTCAAGCATTGCAGCAGTATTTTGCCCCGATTTGGCTCTTTTTTTTCAAGTGAATTAGGCAGTCGGGGGGGTGTTCGGYTTGCATCCGTCAGCCTGCCCGTTGGTACAGGGCTGTCTTAGGTTACAAGCAGGCAGTGATTCGGTTCAGGTGAACGAAATCACCTGTGATAGCACAGCTGGGGATGCCAGTGCTTTGAATGCGCTCAGCGCCTACCGCTTTCCCGTTGTTGGAGCCTTTTTTTTCCCCTCTTTCTTCCCCTCTCTCTCCACAGGGGCGGTGCGCTTTTAACCAGCCCGAGTGGACCCGGCTACCACATCATGCTGCCCTTCATTACCACCTTCAAGTCTGTGCAGGTCGGTCTCATTCCTGTTCGAAGGAGCGAGGGCGAGCGTTGGTGGCAATGCCACCAAATTGGGCAACTGGGATTTGCAGAGGGGCTCAGGAATTCATTTTTTTCTGGGCTCCTTGTCCCTTCTTAATGGTCGTGAGACTCTGGTTTTTTGGAGAAAGAGTACGTTTCTGAGCATATTCTGTCTTTATTTCAGACCACGTTGCAGACCGATGAAGTTAAAAATGTGCCTTGCGGGACAAGGTAGGTTGTTTCTTTGTGTCTCCTGCAGCAATGAGGTGATGTGCAAACTCGGGGGCAATCTTGTACAGTGTTGCGAGGCAGCAGCTGGAGAGTCAAAATTGACCACAGAAATATCTGGAGATCTCGCAGCATTTTTGGAGCGGACGTTTTGCGTAGTGTAAAGGGTGAGGCGGGGTGAAGGAAAATCCAGTGCATGGGTGGCACCTGCCTGTTTCGTAATTAGGTTACTCCTTTTGTCAGCAAAGATCTGGGCAGCTTTAACAAGCTGAGCAACAGCAGGAGAGTGCAAGTTGGGCTGGGCTGCAGATCCTGTTGTGTTGGTTCATCYCTCGAGTTAAAGTAGTTGCTGCATTTGTTTCTTCAAGGCAAAGACAAAAGTAATAGTTCCTTTCTTGTGGCTTTAAGGTGCTCCCAGTATTTCTATAAACAAAAATACAAGCAATGTATTTCTCTGCTGTTTTATCARTCTCACGCAGATAGCGACACAAAACAATCCAGCAAAAGTAGAAATTGAACACGAGTGGCGACTTTAATTCAGCAGAACATTCATCTGTTTAGGGCCTTGCTTGAAATTCAGTCTTAACGTTGTTTCACGCAGCAAATCATCAGCCATAGCTCGGGCTTAAATATTAACCTGGACGAGTTGCTGTGAGCCCTCGTTGTCTCTGGTTTTAGATCTCAAAACGTTTCCGGGAGTGTTTGTAAAATAGTGCAAGAGTCCAGGGCTTTGTGATGAGGTCAAAAGTCRCTAGACGCATTTTACAAGGAGCTGCAGGAAGAGAAGGGAGAGTTCGGGTGTTCTGTATCCGTGCCTTTCAAATCACATGTCGAAATGGAAGTCCTCAGGGCAGAGTTTTAGGCTGCTGAGCTAAGTTGTAGAATGAGAGGTGCTTGATCCAGTGGCTGCTCCGGAAGAGGAAAGGTGGGATCTTTCAAGCAGAGCTCTCGAGATACAGTCTCTTTTMGCAGAGTAACATGTTAGCAGCAACTTCTAGCCTGAACGTAGCAGAAACAGGATGAGGGTTTCAGCTGGCMAAGTCTATAAACCTGCATCGCTAATTTTTTATATGTAGTTCATAAGGTTTATGTTGTGTTTTGGAATTGCTGACTTCAGTCACGCTGTGCAAGCAGTGATGAAGTTGCAGGTAGCAAAGGTGTCTGAATGCATCAGGCAGCTGTTGAAACAGATCCTAGTTAATAATTGAACCCATTCAGACTAAAGGTCTCAACAGTTTTGTTCTTTTTTTTCTTTAAGGTGTTGTTACAAGAGCTAGTTTCTTTGTCACCTTTAGCACTTTTAAGTTAATTTTGATAGTCTTAAGTAACGCTGTGGCAAAGCCAGGCTTTGGACTTCAACACAAAGGTTCTTCAGTAAAAACTTCTATAACTACCAAATGGGTAAAATTCAAAGCTTTGTCATCTCARTTCAAGATTCTCTACGAAAATAGATCTTAAATCCTTTTAATTTCTGTATTTGTGTGTTTGACTATCAGACTTTAAAGGATGGATTTGTCCTCCACCTTATTCCCTCGTATCTACTTGGAAGCTCCTAAACGGCAGTGTGTATGTCCCAAACCCAATTTCTGCCTATCCATATATGCTTGGAAAAAGCCTTCTCCGAATTTTGTACAGGTTACAAGATGTGAAGAAATAGTAAATAGCCATGCTGATAAGCATTAATATTGCCCAAGCATTAAATATTTATTTGCTGAAGTTGCAGGTCTTCTCACATTGAAGATCCTTTAGAGAACACAAGCAGCGTCCTAAAGGAACAGATCCCTCTTTGTTAGATAATCACATCCAAAAGTGTCACAAATACAGCAATGTGTTTGTGTATGTATTAAATATGTAATGTATTAAAGTAATCAACGAGCCTCYCAACAGGCAGGAACTAACCCTTAATCCAAATTTTAACATGCACTCCTTCCTCAGCCAGGTCTGATCTTGTCTATGGTCAGCTCTAGTAAAGAGTGATGAAAGATTTTTTTTTTTTATTTTTCTCAGCCTTTTTTTTTAATGGTAACTTCCTTCAGTTCTTCATCCCTTGCGTTTTCCCACCTTGCTACTGTGGATCTCTTTCTAGCTGCTGCATTTGAACATTTCCAGGTTCTGTTTCTTAAGTAATACAGCAAACTCTGCCATTTACCTAAACTTCTCCCAGATGCACGTGGTCTGCATGTGGAGCCTCTTGCCAGACTTGCTGTGGATCTCTGCTTGTTCCTCTCTCCTTGACTAAAGAGCCTGATAAAATCTGTCATGCTTGGTCTGACCAACCTCATGAGCAGCTCTGTGAGGACCTTGGGGCCTTTTGGTAGAAGCAATTCCACAAGAATCTTCCTGAATTTCCGTTTGGCAAGGCTGTGGAAATTGCAGTGGAGGGTCATAGTTTTGGAAACCTTTACATCTGAAAAACACCTAAATGTAGGGGCCAATGTTCAACTAAAACAGCTGTTGATAAGAGGGTTTATTTGATTGCTGATTAATGAGATATATGAATGGATTCCCACCTCAGATCACTTCATCGTGCTGTGTTGGAACTACTTTCTCAAGACTGCCCAGGATGGTGTCTTCTGCACCTCAGGAGATGACTGGTATCTGGACCAAATTATTTGAGAGATCTTTCCAGACAAGAGCCATTTTAAAATTGGAGTTGTTATAGTCTGGTTTTGTTCCTGGATTTATAGGGAGGAGGTTCAAAGGGCCATCCCCCCTGAAGTGTTAAACAGTGATGGCTTCAACAGCTGGCTGCATGGAAAACTTAATGCAGCTGCTTTGTAGGCCTGCTTTAACATTAAGCCCTTAAGGAGGACGGCATCGTTAGGTTCTGATTGAGCGGTGCCCATTTGCTAGAGGTCATTGCCTCTACCAGCAGGACTGACCACTTATGCTCTGCTGTTGACCTGTCTTGGTATTTGGGAGCCTTGGAAGAGCCATGATAAGTTGTGTTGAGTAGTTTATGTGGAGCAACGGGTTGTCCTCTCATTTTCGGTCGATCCTCTTACATGTGAGCTGATGAGCAGCTATGGCATACGAGTGCAGCAAGAGGAGGTGTGTGGTGTCTCTCATGTTCTCTTTTTGCTTCTATTATTCAGACGTGATGGAAATGCAAAAAGGACTCTAGTATTTAGGGTTGGAGTGTTAGCCCTGTGGAAAACTCCAGTGGGAATGGTCTTTCTGGCACCGTATATGTACTTTGGTTCCTCACTGGGGCGTGTAGAAGATATCTCAAGAAGATATATTGGATTTCCCTGTCCCAGCAGAAGCATCACAAGGCAGCTAGAGCAAATCTATAGGTTTAAAGCAGGTTCAGAGGATCCTGAGAAATGTGTTTGGAGGTTACTGTCTAGAATAAGCAGATTTTTAAGGGGTGCAGGATAGTTGCACAGTACAGCCCCCATGAGATGGAGAAAAACCCATGTGTTGGTCCTTTGTAACTGCTCACAGTCTCACACARAGGGAAGTTGAACTACCAGCTTCAGATCTGGGAAGTAAGAAGCCAGATCTGTAGGAGGAAGCACCTTGGAGAGAAAGCACCATAGAGACATGGGATGGGCATGCGTGAGGAGAGGAACTACCTCCAAAGTGTGCTGTGGTTTGCTGTCCTCTAAATGCAGATGTTCAAGAGATTAAAGTTGTGCTGGGCAAAAACGAACTCCACTTGAATTCAGTAGAAGAGGGGAAAAGACAACTTTGCTTCAAATAAGGGATTTCTGTGAAAAGCTGCGGGACTAATTCAAGAATTGTGCCTTTCTCGTTCGTAGTGGTGGYGTTATGATCTACATTGACCGAATAGAAGTGGTGAATAAACTGGCGCCGTACGCAGGTATTTCCCGTCCTGTTTTAGCACGCGGCCCTGGGGCTGTCTTTGCTCTTTGTTTGCAAGGCTGCGTCTGCTCTCCGTGCCTTATCTTCGTGGCTCCCGGGACCCTGGCACTTAGTTGTATACCCGTGGCTGCAAGTTCTTGGGAAAGCTTTGCAGCCTCAGCATTTGCAGAGAGGAATATAACCTCTAGCACTAGCTCTCCCCCGGAGGGTTCTGCACCTGGCCGTGCAGAAATGCTGGACTGCATGTGCTGAGCCCTGGTGTTGCAGAAGCRGCGAAGGGCGAGTTCTTATTATGAGGATGGGAATGATACTTGTTTTCCCTTGTTAGGAGTATCTCTTCCTCGGCATGCAGGTCCTGGGCAGCCTTTACTATTTCGTTTGTTTATGCAGATCATAAAACGGGACCATGCAGTATATCTTATTGTAATTACCTGGCTCTTTGAAGTCATATAATCCCGTGAGCACTGGTGGAAGGAAGCTCTTCAGGTGGCTACTCCGACCTCCCAGTCCCAGCAGGGCTGGCACTAGCAGCAGGTCRGCGCAGCTGTGGCTTCGTCCAGGCAATTCCCAAAAGCTCCTGCAGATGAAGATCCCCTGCCCCTCGAGTGCCTTGTCCCAGGGCTGCACTACTTCCTTAAGGATCTGAGCTGTCCCTTTGAGGCAGCAGGTTCACAGGAGACTTAATATGGGACAGTTAGAAAGTCGCTGTGTGCAGCAGTGACCTGTGCTAATCCTTTTATTTCCTCAGTGTACGATATAGTGAGGAACTACACTGCAGACTACGATAAGACCTTGATCTTCAATAAAATTCATCACGAGCTGAATCAGTTCTGCAGTGCCCATACTCTTCAGGAAGTATACATCGAACTATTTGGTAAGCATATGTCAGCTGGAAATGCTCGTGGAATAAAGCTAGCTAACCYGCCGTGTTCTGTGGAATACAGCAACCTCCCGTAAGCAAATAGGCCCTGGCCTCAATTTGTGGTTAAAAAACATTTCCTTAAAAATCTACATGCCTCTTTCTGTGTAACTGTGTTGTGTCTTTAATGATTCAGGGTTCTGTATCTGCTGATGGGTAGTTAAATTCACTCKTTTTCCACTTGGGACTGAATACAAAATACATACAAAATAGTGGTTGTGATCTTGTGCTTGCTGACACACTCGCTGCATTCTCTGCGGCACTACTTTTATTTTCCCCATATGTTTATGTTCCCGTATAACATCTATACGTTAAACCTCTGTGCTATTGCTAGTTGAAGTTCTTTTTACTTTAAAGGCTTCCTCGGGAAGTGGAGCAAGAAGGAGCTGGCATGACTGGTGCAGTTTGTTGCATTGCTCTGGTTTTTTCACAAGGGGGTAGCAGTGATTGAGGAACTAGCGAAGGACTGAACCTTGCCAAGCCAAGGCAGGGTTRCTGACTGGCAGGGGGATCCAGTCATACCACAGCTTTCTCCCTGAGACCCTGAAAGCAGTTTGCCTCCAGCTCTGGCCAGGAACCCATCAGTAGCTGAAGCTTTCCAGAGACACCAACGTGTGGCTCTCCTTAGGGATGTTTGCCATGGGAAACGTTTTCTTCAGAGGGTGTACAAATGGCGACGATGTATGAATGAGCCCAAAGAACATGGTTATTTTATGCCCTGTGTAGAGATGCCTCCCCTTGAAAGTCAGATGACTCTGTGCTGCACAAACCACAGGAGAATTTATGTGCCCAGATTCACATGGTCTCTTTCTCCCTTTTTCTCCAAATGCAGATCAGATAGATGAGAACCTGAAGCTGGCCCTGCAGAAGGATCTCAATGTCATGGCACCAGGTCTCACTATACAGGTAAGTCCGTTCCCCACTGGTAATCTGTTCTCTTCTGCACCTTGAGCTCCTTTCACTGGATCAGTGAGGTCTCTTCTGTGTTTCACATATTGAAGACTGCCCACCGTATGACAGTGACCACTTCTCGATGCTGTTTTTATCTCGTGAAGAGCTACAGGATAAAGAAAAGAACTTAGTAGGCCACAGACCTCTAGATACTAGATTTAATTCACAAACAGCAGCAAAATGCTTGGGGTTTTTTTTGGTTTTTTTTTTTAACGATCTTTAGCATCTGTAGAGCTGGACATTGCTGGAAATTGTGTGCTGCACAATTAGTAAAGGTAATCTGAAAAAGAAAATTTCTCTACTCGTGTCAGAGATAGGGAAGAGTATTATATTCCAAATGGTTTCCTGTTGGTAGCGATTTCATGTTGGTAGCTGGGCTATGGGATGTATTGGCTTTTTGAAAGCCAGCAGGTTAAAGTTCAGGGCTACCAATTGGGGAAAAAATAGATTTAAAAAGGCTAAAATGGGAGATACCTTTAGGAATTTCTCAAGATTTCCGCTGTTGAGAAGAGTGGCCCTGAGTGTGTTTTGCTCCTTCTCAGTGCCCCATTTTGCTAGGCTAGTTGTCCCTGAGAAGGGTACAGAAGCTTGCAGTGCTTCACGTGGTGGCTAAAGGGAATCATTATTTTCTTTGGCGGCTCCTGTGCTTTCCCCTCTGCATTTTGATGAGAATGAGCTGGCGTCGCTGTCCCCTCACGAGGCGTCTCTGCTCTTCCCAAGATTCCAGCTATTTGCACTATGCCTTTTTATGTAGTTCTATCACATGCCATTTTTGATTAAAAAATACCATCTTAATACGATACCTTTCCCGGTGCTGTGATCAGACTGAGTGTGAACAAGCTCACAGATCTTTGCTGAGGAAAAACTATGTAGTAGTTTTATGCCTTTACAGCAAGGCGTAACCATCTGATACACTCCAATCTCAGTTACCACTTCCCAGCCAATCTTTCTTACCTGGGCAGCGTGCTTTAGGTCACCTCTGCTAGTGCAGGCTGGATTGGACTAGATGAGCTCCAGARGTCCCTTCCAACCTCAAGCATTCTGTGATTCTGTGTAGCTAAGTCTGATCTTCAGCATAACCTGTTCCCATTGAGTCCAGCCTGCCCAGTCTTAGCTGTTGGTCAGAAGCTGGAGGACACTCTGCTTGTTTCAGCCCAGGCTGGGTTTGCAGGACCAGCAGCTTGAAAAYGTCCTACAACTTCTGAAGAAAGTGATTCATCGGAAGTGCTTCAGAAATAGGATGATTATTCCTTGGTGTTTCTACCATCCTGTTTCTTGGTCTCYGGTGAGATTGTGCCTTGATGAACTAGTCCTCTGTGTTGCTCTACCCCTTGCCGTGAAACCTTGCCACTGCCTTGGTGAAGGGTTGACCTTTCTTTAAGCTCCCTGCATTTTGCTGCATATAACTGAGATGGAGTTAGGAAAACCAGAGCTCCCCTGGGCTTGGACTTAGTGATGCACGTGCAAGGTAACACAAAGGGCTTTTAAGTACATCAAGAGCAAAAGAAAAGCTCAAGAATCCTTATCCTTTTCTCCAAGGCTGGATGAATTTGGGGGGTGAGGATGCCTGTCACACGCAATTCCCTCTTCTCAGCATGTGCAAAGACTTGCCAGAGAAATATCCACATGCCGCTGTGTGTGGAAGCGATAAAGTTCTTTGCAGACCTRCAGAGTCCAGAGAGAAGCAGCAGGTTCAGGGCCAGAGCTGTGATGGAGGTCGAGCAGGAGAGCTGGGAAGCGATCTTGACTGCTGCAATTCACAGAGCTCAGCCCTGAACCAAGTGATACACGTGGGTTGGGCAGCAGCAGCTCCTGTCTTCAGGTCCTGCCGCTTTGCCCTGCTGCTGTCCCCTCTTCACCAGTTTATCTCGCATAGTCACATAGCCCAGCCTCTTGTTTGCAAGTCGCACCCTGGCAGCTTAATTCCATTGGATCCATGAGGTCCTTTCTTGAGCACTACCTTGGAAGCTGCCATCTCATGATCTTTGGAGAGTGTTTCCATCTAGGGCGGAGAACTAAGCTCTTTCTTAGAAAGATAGCGGAGCCGTTAAGGAATCTTTGCCACAGACCTTACTTAATCACCTAAGTGTTACAGCAGGGTTAGAGAAGGGATATTCAAATGTGGGGCTTCTTTTTAAGAGAGACTGTTCTCGGGTTGCTGTGCTGCACGRGAGACCTGGAAACTGTTGTGCAGGATCTTGCATGAACATGGAAACAACCCTTGCCTTTCCTAGTGGCCGGAGCACTACAGCTGGTTTTGCCATGATGTGTCTTACCTGTGCAGATCATCAAAATACTTTGTCTAAAATGCACTTTGCTTTCTTGTAGGCTGTGCGTGTTACAAAACCCAAAATTCCAGAAGCCATCCGAAGAAATTTTGAGCTCATGTGAGTAGCTGTACATAAAATTGTATGAGAGAGTTCTGAGGGTCCAGCGTAGGCGTTAGGCATGGTGCTTTTGTCAGTCTCATAGCTCGCGCTCAGAAGATGGAAGGGAGACTCCAATTGTGCTTGTGCTGTATGAGGGGTCCTTGTACAGTCTGTCTGTCCATCTTCATAGCTCTTGTCACTGGGAAGCATTTTAGCCCTTTGGAAAGATGGCTGTTAGCAATTACAGAGTCTATGGCAATGAGGATGCTGATGTGCTGTGGGGAATCTTTGGATTCAGCAAYTGAACTTGGGGCTCTGGGATCCTCACAAGCTCCCTTCCAGCAAGCTCACAGAATCSCAGGAATATTTCAGTTTGACAGGGACTCCCGGACATCTCTTGACCAAGCTCGTGTCAAAAGCAGGGCTAGCTTCAATCTACACCAGACTGTTTAGGGCCGTGTTSAGAGGAATCTGGACAAACTCGAAAGGCGGAGATCCCGCCACTGCTTGGGAACCTGTGCTAAYGCAGCACCCCTTGCACGGGAAGGGAAGACTCTTTACTGAAGTCCAGTCAGGATTTCCCATGTTGCAGCTTGTGTGATGGCATCCCATGCTTTAGCTGGGCCCCTCTGAGCAGAGTCTGGTCCTGTCACCTCTTCAGCTTCTTTGGACCTGCGCTCCCTGCAGCTGGATCCCCCTTCACCTTCTTGTTTCCTGATTGAATAAGCCCAGTCCCTACAGTCGCTCCTTGTACACTCTAGTCTCTAGCCCCACCATCTCTGTCGTCTGCCTTAGATTCGTGGCTCATGTCTGCCCTGCATTCATGTCTCACTCGTGCTGGGGGTCTCAGGCCAGTGCCAAATGGATGAGAGCCCGCTGGCTGTGTGTGGGCTTGTGCAAGTGAGGACACGACTGCTCTTCACTGCTCAAGGGTGCACTGCTTCTTCCTTGCTCCCCAGGCGTCTCGTGCCCTTGCTTGCAGAGTTTTCCCAGCTCTGTTTCACCGTGATACTGTTCCTCATCCTGCAGGGAGGCTGAGAAAACCAAGCTACTTATAGCAGCCCAGAAGCAGAAAGTTGTAGAGAAGGAGGCAGAGACAGACCGGAAGAAGGCGCTCATAGGTATGTGATCCATCAGGAGTACCAGCAGGCTCTGGCCTGAGTGAATTTCCATTCCTGCATTCCGCCTGCCCAGGAGGCTAACGGGGACAYATTCATGCGTTGCTGACAGCTCCCTGCAAGAAGCACATCTTCTGTGGGGAAACTTCTAAAAAATGAGGCTAGGTGCTGCTGCATCTGCCCTCGCCCAGCGCAGACCCAGCACCCTGCCCAGAGCAGTGAGCTCTTCACCATCGTGCAGCAGCAGCACTCGGCTCCCTACGGAGACCCGCTGCTCCTCTGGTACAGCGGGCACTGAGGCTCGCACCTCCCATAAAACACTTACAAACCCCATTGCTCCCTGGGCATCACGTGTCGTGCTMAAGCCCCAAGGTTGTCTTTGGGAGGAGAAGTGATTTTCACGGCACTGTGGGGAAGTGTAGGAAYGGGCGTGCTCACTGCAATGCTTCCAGCATCCAGCTGAGACCCTCATTATAAATCCTAAGTACTGGAAGTTGTCTGCCCCACATCAGACCTGGAAAGCCTGGGCGCCCGCTGCAGACTGAGAGCTAACAGCTCTGCTGGCAGAATTGGTTGGGCTCTGTTAAGGTAAATGTGGTTGGACGACATGGAATCCCGTTTGTAAAAGGGATTTGAGCCACTTCAACTCTAGAAACTTCAGCACTGCCTATTCCTCCTGCAGCTGTATTGCTTGGGGTACAAACAGGACCATGGGAGGGAGGGAGCAGAGGGTGAATTGCCTCCGTGGTGGTGTCTGCCCCCCAGGTGTGAGGTCGGGATGCTCAAGGCTTGCGAGTGAGTGTCTGAGCCGAGCCTGTTGTGATTGCAGAGGCAGAGAAAGCTGCTCAGGTGGCCAAGATTCACTATCAGCAGAAAATTATGGAGAAGGAAACGGAGAAGAGAATTTCGGAGATTGAAGGTAAGACCATCATGTTGATGAGTTGCTTGAGTCMCCTTCTGGCTAAGGGGCTCCCCAGTGCCTGTGGGTAGAGAAACCTCCAAAGTGGGCTCATAGACACGATCAGAGTGAAAATAAAGGCTGCAGCTGCGCAACAGGATGCGCTTGGGCAATTCCTGCCCTTTGCAGGTACCTCTCCAAGGAGCCAGTAGCACTGGTGTGTGACCAGGCTTCTCCGGGAATGCAGCTGAGTCAAATTGTCCCCAGGGGACGGGGGCCCAAGCGCTCCGTGTGRCGTAGCTGCTCGCTTGCTAACACTCCTCCTCCTGTCTGTCATCTGTTGCTGGGTTAGATGCTGCGTTCCTAGCAAGAGAGAAAGCAAAAGCTGACGCCGAATACTACACCGCTCAGAAGCTGGCTGATTCCAACAAGGTGAGCTGCAAATCCAGTCGGAAGAGGGCTTGCTTACCCTTGCCCTCTACACGGGAGAGTAAGTTCGGATGGGCAGCGCCGAGTTGAACAGCCTCGCCTTTCCTGGGGGAAGGGCTCCCTGAGATGGACTCCAGTGATGCGTGCCCCACAAGTGTCTCTCATGGGCTCTGCTTTCTCTTGCAGCTGAAACTCACCCCGGAATATCTGGAGCTAATGAAATACCAGGCGATAGCTGCAAACAGCAAGCTGTATTTTGGCGACAGCATCCCAAGCGTCTTTTTGGATTCCTGTGCCTTCCAGCAAGCTGGTGTGAGGACTGCCCGTGAAACCAGCCTGTCCTCGCAGGAGACCCCAGAGACCTCTGGAAAAAGCCACCACAAAGCAAAGGAAAGCACTGGCTGACAGAGGCAGCGCGATCCCTGGAAGAGCTCCGCAGCTAGCCCAGCTGTGAATGGGGATTGCCCTGTGCTGGTGGGGCGGATGCAGCACCCGTGTGGACGTCTTGCACATCGGTGGCAGTTGGGTTGATTTTTCTTCTAGCAACATGTTGCAAGTGCTCTGCCCCTTCCATTTCTTCCCCTATTAAATTGGTGCTTCCAAATGAGGGATAATCCTGTACTAACATACCTATACTGGAATATTAAAAAGACAGAAACCAGGAAAGCCTTGCGCAGTAGGTGCGATTCTTTAGCAAGCATTACCTTTGGGGCCAGAGACRTGGCTTGGAGTGCTGCACACCTCGTCGTTCCCTAGCCCTCGACACTGAGGCCAAGCAAAGATGTTTCCTTCCTCCTGCCAATGAAGCTTCGCACCGTGGACCCTGAGGCAGGTTCTGTTGACACTAACCCCTCAAGGACTCGAGGAGGCTGCGCTCTGGCTTGGGGAGAAGCCCAGAAAGGAGTGATTTGCTTTGGAGTGGATTCTTCAAATAGGATCTGCATAGCCATAACTTTTTTTTTTCCCTTCCCTGTAGGCAGTGGAACTAGATAGCGCGGACTCAACATGAGCAATCTGTAACAGGCTTTAGTAAGTTCCTTCCTCCAAACGAGAGCCTTATGCTGGCTGGTCGCGGGTGGTTGGAGGATGCTTCAGATGGGCAACGAGTCTCACCCTGCACCCTCAAACAGGATTCGGAATGCGTGCGGCGCCTGGGAGCACCTGACTGGCAGCAAAGGGTCCCCACTTTCAAAATCTCAGACCTCAGCCCCCCCTTCAGGTCTTCTCACCATGGAAAGGCTGCTGAATTKTCACCACTCTGTCTTGCAGGCAAAGGGAAGAGAGAAGAGCGAGGAGAGAGATGCAAGATAATCCCTGGGACAGAGAGAAGGAGTCTCAGTATTATCCTACTTACGCCAGTGGCGTCCTTCCATTATTGACCCCCGCCAGGCAGAGAATGGGATCCCAGAAGAAGGGGAACTTGCCCGGTGAATCCTCAAGCAGTTGCAATGGAGAGTCCCTCACCAGCCCTACAGCTGCTGGCCGGGCTTTGCTGTGCCGTGGGGCTTTTGCTCACAAACTGTGCTCGCAGGTTGACCCTTATTCCTGGCCCGCAACCTCTCATGGCTCTTCCCTGCTCCCCATGTGCTGCTGCRGGGCGAGAGGAGAAAATAAGATGAATTCCTCGGAGGGGAAAATGCAAGTGGGTGCAATATGTCAGYGATCTGCTTTCTTTCCCTCTTCTCCGCTTCCCTGCGCCTGCTTGCTTCTCGGACCTGTGTCTCTTTGCGTTTGGTGACAATCCCAGAAGATGATGACCAAAGGAGCATGYGGCAGGGGCCTGATCCGGAAAGCTCTGCCCCCAACGAGGAGCACTGGAGCCCCGCTTGCCCCTCCAAACCAGTGCATGTTCAGAGACCGCCTCTYCTCCTTGAGCTCGCATGTCTCTCCGTTCCTCCTGGTTTTCTGTCCCCTCTCGTGCGGCCAGATGAAGTGTTCAGCAGATCCCCGAGAATGCCAGCTGGTGGTGACTCGCCCAACAACCAGGATCGAGCCCCAAGCGAATACTTTGACCTTCACGTTTATCAATAATTTGTGCACTTTGGGCCTTTCGGTGCTAGCATGGTACCCCGTGTGGCTTGTTTGACTTACAGGACGATGATGTTTCTCCTAAAGGAAAAGTTCAGTAACAGTCCAAAAGTGCTGTGCTCTGTCTCAGCTCCTGCCAGTGCTGTCTCTTCTCCATCTCGGGGGCAGAGTGGGGCTGTTTTGCCCCTTCCTTTCCCACTTTGCTGCCAGCCAGCTCACGCAGCAGTGCCCAAGGGACTTGCGGAGCGCTTGGAGTGGAAGACTGAGGAAAGATTTCTCCAGTGTGTGGTGCGCACGTCTAGCAGGCAGAGGGATCGTGGAGCAATCCTGCAGATCCAAGCCAAGGTGGGTGCAGAGCCCCGCAGCGGGGCCTTTGTGGGAGCAGCTCTCAGTTCTCCTTGCCAAAAGGGTGACCTCCTGGGCTCGAGTGGTAGYGGAAGGATGTTAACCCCCGCCCGCAGTGCCATTTTCAGCGAAGGGACAAGGCGAGGCAGCATGTTTTGTAGCTGGGGTACTCAAGGGGTCTCCTGGAAGCGTTATTTGATGAGCAAGATTCCGTCTCCTCCGCGGGGAGGGCTGTCGGGAGCTGGCGCAGTTGCATGTCTTTGATACTCCAGCCACTTGGGTTGAATTTGGAGTTCAATCACAGGCTTTTTGGGAACAAAAACATAATTTGGAGAGTGGATAGACCTATTCCCAGGTGATCCCTGCTGGCTTGTGATCTGGGAGCCTGGCGAGCAGCCCTGGTTCTCATCTCAAGGTGAGAGGTGTCTTGCGAGGGCTGGTGGAGGCAGCGCTTGCGTGGCAGAGCCGTTGTGCAAGGGCAGCCTCCGTCTTGGAAAGAGGGACCTGGGCCGGGTGCTAGCGATCGCCAGCATCAGTGCATGGGGATTAAACTGCGCCTAGGGGACAGGGGAGCTGATGCAAGCCTCGAGGTGCCGGGAAACCAGGGTTCAATCTATACCTTCCACCTCCTGCCCGAGTGGTTTTGGGGCCGTCTCTGACCCGCTCCTGTGGCTTGCAGTCCTGCAGCAAGGTTTGCAGGTTGCCCAGTGCCTTGTGCAGAAAGCTCCTCTGGGCTCCTTGGACCCTGCAGCCACTGCCCTGGGGACAGCGCTGCGGATGTGCCCACGTCTGTGTGAAATACCCACGCAGCCACRTGACCGTGCGTTTCTTCGCACCTTTAGCTGGGCGTTGCTTCTCTCCAAGCTTGGAGAAGGTGGATGCACCTGAATCCTGGTTTTGAACTGTTTTCTCTCTGTTCGAAAGGCCTATTATGCTCTCTTTTTTTAAAAAAAAAAGAAAGAAAAAAGGGTTTGCCACTGGATCAGCACCTTCTCTAAGGAAACACGATACATATGTTCAAGTTTACAGTGCACAGTGTTACATTCTTTTGATAAAATAGAATAAAAATATTTTGATACCATTTCCTCCCTGCCTCTGTGTCTCGCTGGGGAGAAGGGGAAGTCTCTGCGCCTCGTAGCACGTAGCCTGGGCCGTTGCTCGAGCCTGGACCTGCCCAGGCTCGGGCAAAATTGCAGCAAGTAACTCGTGTGGAAGCTCCAAGCGGGAGCTGGTCGAGGATGACGGGCTCTCCACGGAAAGGCAAGAGGATCTACTCAACGGGCCGTCTCTCTCCGATGCCTCAAGTTGCYGAGGCCCTTAATGTCTTAGTCCTCRAGGAGAAAGGAGCCCGTCTAGCCAGGCGTTTGGAGACAGGTTTTCCTCCTTGCTGGGAATGATTGTGGCTGTTCTCAGAGCAACAAGAAGGGCCAGGGTCTGGTTTGGCAAGGAGGAAGTGTGGTGTTTTGTTGTGTTTTCTTCTTACAAGCCCATCASGCAAGGGGAAGGGACAAGCATGGGGATTGCCTGAGGACTACAAACCATTGCCCTTGCTACTCCCACCCCTAGGAACTACATGCGGAACACAGTTATTTTCAGTCTTTATTTGTATCAAAGCCTTCAACTTGAACGATATCAAAACACGGAGGACGAGTTTCMCGAGGAAGGGCTCAAAACGATCGTAGAAAGGGTCATAGATTAATGGCTGCGGTGAAAACGTCCCCAGGAAATTCCCTACTAGGAAAAGAGTGGTAATTTCAGAGCTGGAAAAAAAGAAATACCCCTGGGGAGTGACCCCAGTGAAGGTAAGTGGGGCTTGGACCTGCCAAGGCCCATGGCCTGACACACTGTGCACCTGGCCTCAGGTGCAGAAGGTGGCCTGCAAGAGCTGTCCCCAAGTCAGGCGCTGTCCCAATAGGGAGGGCTCTGAGCCTGCCCAAGCTGTGCGAGCTCCTTGCTGTGGCCCCAGCAGGGAAGGACCCTGGTGGGCAGGAGCTCTGGAGAACCTGGTGTCGGTGTCCAAAGAGCCACGTGGGGCAGGCATGAGGCACTGCACTGGGTGKGCAGGCAACGGGAGGGAAGCAGCAGGACCCAGGTTTCAGGCAACCCTGAGCAACCGAAAATCAGAGCCAGATCAGGAGGAGATTGTTGGAGAAGGGCAGCAGAAAGACACCATAAAAACAAAAAAGACCTAGTTAGGGATTTTCCTGGAGTTTGGGATTTTCCAGTCTTGGCACTGTCCGTGTTCCTAGTCTCTCCCAATGACWGTGAGCTCCCAGCTCATGGCTCTTCTTGGTCAAGCCATAAAGCTAAAAGTCTCTTAAGGCACAGCTCAAACATCTGTAAACACTGGTGGCCTCAAGGGAAGGTCCAGCAAGTGATTCAAGTACCGTTGAAACAAGACGTGGACGTTCTTGCTGTCCCACCCCAAGTGCCGRCAACTCCTCCATTGCTGTGATGGATGCGGCCTGGGTCACCTCCGAGCCGTGGGTGGCTTCAGGGCCACCTTTGGGGTGACACCTCTCTGAAACACAAACGGATGTGTCAGTAGAGGAACGAAGGATTCCTGTACTTCACAAGGTCCCCTCGTCCTCCAGTGCAGAGCCGATGTGTGGACAGGAGTGACTCAGGGTGATGGCTGAGCCACCTGCGCACAGTGCGCTCAGGGGGCCACAGGATGGGCCGTGTTGCAGCTCACCTGGGGCATGAGGGGGCCTGGATGCTCCTGGGACAACAGGGCTGCGGGTTTGGCAGGAGGGATGGGGGGTAGCAACGGTCCTTCTCCCGCGGTGCAGCRAGGCCAGGCAACCTGTCAAACAAAAATAATGACAGGGCAAATTGCGGAGACACAGGCTCCATGGCCATGCTTGGTCTAACCTTGGTCTGCCTCCCCAGGGCAGTAACTCAAGATCCTGGCCGTTCCCTAAGTGCTAGGCTCCCCAGGCGCCGTCCCCCATCTCCTCCCCTGCAATAAACTCAACGCGATGGGAGCTGCGCCCTACCTCCTTGTTCTTCAGCGCTGGGAGAGGCTTGCTGGGTGCGCTGGGCTTCGCCTGTCGGAGGAAAGGAACAAAGCAACCCCCTTGTTTGAGTGACGCCCACTGGGGACAGGAAACCAAGCCAGGCTTTGAGACAGAGGGATGACCACCCCAGGGAGATGGGCAAGTTGACACTGCCCATATGACACCTCAAGGGCAGCCCCATCCTCAACAAGAAGGTGCTGCTCGGGAGATGCCCGCCTTTGAGTTCCACCTCCCRAGCAGAGATGGTGAGTACAGAGATTTAGGAAAACGGTTGGTTTCTTGCTGGCCACATCTATGATGACACTGCCCCAGCTTTGGCTTTGGCCGCCGGAGTGGGGAGTTTTCATGTTCTCGCGCTGCCCCCAAAATAGCGCATTCGTGCTTACCTCTCTAGGAGCCAGCAGAGGCTTTGCAGATGCTGGAGGCAGAGGTGGTAAACAGAGCATTGTGACACCCTAGAGCGGAGGAGAATCAAAGAGCTGCTGCTTTGCCCCAAGGCCAGAGGGAGGCCACAGAAATATTTGGAGAGTCCGGTCACAGGTAGTGACAACTCCCAGTCCTTGCAGGCTAATTTCYGTGGTGATCTACCCTTCATCAGCAATGTGGGCAATCACCCAAACGCACCCAACAAGTCTGGGGATGCTACAAAGCAAAGCAAGGTGCTGAGGGCAAGCGGCAGAGCCATGGGCTGGAGAGCTCAGCATACTGAGCAGCAGAAAACCACCAAGAAGTGGTTCTGGCCCGGGGCAGGAAGGACAGGGTGACTGTGGGAACGTGGCAGTCTGGGTCCCGAGCTAYGCAAGAGGGACACGGAGACCCTGGCAAGGCCCCACAGAGGCTTGACCTAGCCTGAGGCACAAGGAAATGGAAGAGTTCTTGGGTTGATCCACAGAGGGATCATGGATTTGTGCAAGCAGAATTATGTCCACATGAAGGACAGACTGCCCCCATCTATAACAGATGGAGATAAGCCAGGCTTATCCACTGGAGATAGGCTGTCTCAGGCCTGGCTAAGAATGACTTTTGGATGCACTGGGTGCCATGCAGGGATAGCTGGTGGTTACCTGAGATGGACGGACTGGAGAGGTTGGAGACATCATCTGAGCGGCTGGCGCAGGAGGCTGTAGGATCAGCAGAAACAGGGCTGAGGTGTTGCATGGCCGAGGACACCATGCAGGCTTGGCACCRTGTACCACTTGCCGCAGGCTGTTTGCAGCACATCTGGCCAGGTGTGCTCTGGTCTCCTACCTCTGGAGCTGGGCGGCTGGGCCTCACGGAGCGAGCACCCTGCAGGTTCGAGGTCGTGGCGAGCAGGCTAGGGCTGCCAATGTCATCCCGGGACAGCTGGCTCTGCATGGGCCGCTTCCTGCCACCCTCCTGGAAGAGCGGGTTGGCCAGGCCGCGCGCAGCACTGGTGGAGATCCGCCTGCAATACGAAGGACCAGCGTGGCATCGGCAGCTTTGTGTGGCTTCAGACATGACCTGCAAAGCCCCCTTGGTGAAAATTCCCCTCTATCTACCTCAGCAAGGCAGCTGGAGGCTTACCCTTTCCGGAAGAACCTCTTCCCACCGCCTCTGGCGAGCACAAAGCCTCCACCGAGCAGGATACTGGAGAGTGCCAGCACCGCCAGGACGGCCGCCATGACCACGGTGCTGCCCCCTGCGGAGACCCAACCGCTGTGAGAACGGGCACCCCCAAGCCCAACACACCCAGCACGGAGGGATGCCCATGGGCACCCATGGCCATGGGTTGCCCTTCACCCCCAAGCTCTCACCCGCCGCCCACCCCAGGCACGGGTGCGAGGAAGCTTTTCCCCACCAGCTAGGCACAAGGTGGGGGGTCTCTGCACCCCATACCCGTGGTGATCTCTGAAATCCTCTGCTCACAGTACGGCGCCGCCCAGCCCGGGTCGCAGTGGCACTCCCGCTTGTGGTTGCAAACCTGAAATCAGAGAGGGCCGAGTCAGCGCCCGGGGGCAAATTGCCCCTGAGCGCTCCAGGAGCTGGGGCTGTCGCCAAGCGTCTTGCCTTCCTTTGAAGGCCATGATTCAGCCCTAAATTCAGCAGGGAGTCTCCTGCCCTTGTGCTACGTTCAGCTGAGGAAGGGTGTCTGGACACCCCACAGGCAGGAGCGATACGGGAGCATGTGAGAGGGCTGAGCATACCCCGTGGTTGTTGCATTTTGCAGAGCAGTTCTTGTTGCCRTAGACCAGGACATTCTGGCAGCGTCCCGCATAGCAGACCTGCAAGAAGGCAGGTCTAAGAGCAGAGCACGGCATCCATCAGGTGCCGCATGCAGCCAGGGGCTCTTCCCAGGCGTCCCCGCAGCCGGGCCTGCGCACTCACCATCTCCTCCCCACACTTGGTGCCTGTGGGCACCAGCTTGAGGTTGGCCACGGTCCCGCTGGCATCGTTTTCAGTGATGGCTGCTTTGCATTTGAGGCGGTTAAAGGAGATGTGGTATGAGCTGCCACCGATGACGGGGTGGGTGTTCTCGCTCAAGCACAGCAGCGTGCCGCACTTCACATCCCTGCCGGGGCGGGCAGAGGCAGCCGTGAGTGCGGGAGCACCAGCCGCCAGCCCGRGCTCTCCTCCAGGGCACGAGAGAATTGCCAAGGGCTGAGGACTTTGCTCCAGACCCCAACAAAGGCCGTGGCCAGAGCCAAGCTGCTCCATTGCTTACTCAGGGCTGCAGGGCCTCTTTCCCGACTCAGTGAGGCAGTGGAGGTAGAGGTTTTGCGCACTGTTGTAGTTAAAGCAGGCATCGGGAGCCACTTGGGCAGCTGCGGGACACATAGAAGAAACGGATCAAGCAGAGCCAGAGCCTGCGTCATGCCAGCAGCAGCTGGCACAAC